CTCCGGATTGCTCATCACTGCAGAACGTCACGCTCGTGTTTTCCTGAGAGGTTTTTTTTTTTTTCCTATGAAGACAGGATGCGTGTGGAGTCTTCACGTTCTCAGGCAGGAGTCAGTGAAAGATCAGCAGAGCCACAAGATCACTTTCTCTTTCTTCTTCCACTATCTCCTGCATCCCTCTAGCTTTCCCTTCATCACACGCACACACATCTCCTCTGTACTCATATCCATCACGGTTTCTTGTACTGTACCTCTTCTTCTCAGCAGTGAGTGCAGCTTTAATATTAAAGACTATCTGAGAGTCTGCTCACTGCTGCAGGATTTCAGGTTTTGGAGAAGAAGAGAGAAGTGTGACTCACTAAGCTAATTCATTCTACAAAGCAAGTTGATGCATACCAGACAGGATTAGTCCAAAGAGTTTACTCTCAGATGTGCTTTTTCTGTAAATGTGGATGGATGTTACATAAACACAGAGGCTTTGAGTCATAAGACTCAAGGATTTCTATATTAGACCACTAGCCACCCCTCAGTTAATTTTTTTTTTTCCTTTTGAGTGGGTGTGAAACACTACGAAACAAAATATGACTGTTTTCGGTGGGACATTTTAAAAAAAAATAGAAAAAGCAATTAACAATGGGACTCGTTCATCAAGCTGGATACGAATTCGTAAATCGTTCGCAGTAAGAAATGTGCTTCTAAAAATCCAGGTAATTGGGAAAAGCTTTCATATCCTATATGCACTCGCGATTTTGTGTAAACCTACATGTAGGGAGAATCATTAATGACAACCTCGACTGTTCGGCGTCAAATCATCTAATTGCCGATGAGGTAGTGCCATCTTTTATATACACATTACACTTTCAAGTTTACATTGCCCATTTATTTCAATTGCACACACACTGATTTCATGAACATTTTGTGACACTCACTCATTAATGATGCATAAAACTAGCCATTTGTTTACCACAAAAGTAATGGCGCCATATAAACGGTGGAAGAGTTAGTGTGTGTCTGTGGTAGCCTAACTGCTGCAATGGCTGAGCTGCTTTATTGGACGATTTAGCATATACCTCTGCTCTTTCAACATTTAGTCGCCATTTAGTGGGCGTCACTAAATAACATGCTTGGTAACTTATCAGCATACGAAACTTTTAGAAACCTTTTAGTTTGATTGGGCATCTAAAAACATTAACACAGAACGTTACTACAAGATCGATAAACAAGGCCTACTGATAGTATGACTCTTTTAGATTTCCCATCATATCGATTATTTGTCCTACTTCTTGACTGAGTGAATTAAAAGCTACTTCAGCCCACGCTAATTTACTAGCACTAATTGACTTTTTTTCTTTACCCTCTGCAAGCAGGCCCCATTTCTCTCCTATCAGGTCCATGAAAATTGTCAGACGCTGCCTCTCTAAGCCACGATTGAATTCCTCTCAGTTTTAATCTGCTGATTAGGATTTGCAACATTGAGAGACCCCGAGTCGGTCCTGATGGTCTTTCATCCTGACGGAGTGGGCTCTCTGCTAATTGGCGCAGTCTCTGTTCTGTTCTTCTCTGATAGCGAAGGATGTGCAGACAAAACGGCTTTCTGCTGATTACGGATATAAGAAATGACAAGCGGCTCAACAGAGTCTATGAGATAGATGAGGAACTGCTTTATCGCTCAGGAACCAACCGGAGAAATTCTCCGGCTGCGAGCATGGAACTATTCTGGCATTCACGGCCATATTGAAACAGACAGCGGCACTGTGAGTCATGTTGCTGTTAGGTTCCTATACTGCTCCTATACTGACGTATTTCCTCTTCATTCATGCAGAAGCAACAAGACTGCTGGACCATAATGCACCAAAGCTACACGTCAGATTGGATTACGTCCAGCGTTTGCACAGAGCGGTCCTGCACGTCTCAGTCCAGTCCAGTAGGACACTTAGCGTTGAAAGAGTCTAAAAATGTCCAAAAATGAGCCAACAGGCCATATCATGTATACATTTAGATCGCTTTTCATCCAACACCAAACCAGCAGGAATACTCCAGCATTCTCTAATCTAATACATCTATAATCTATCAGTCTATAATCTAATACATCTATAGTGTATGCAATTACCACTTTCCCTGTCCTGGTAAAATAATCAGAATATCTTTGTTTATGTGAAATACCCACATGATGGTACACCATCACCATCATCATCATCATCAAGCCATCGGAAATAGTTACACAGTTTAAGCAAGGCTGTCTACTTTGAAATGAGCAAGCACTCTGGTTTAACATGAACCCACCTGGGAATTTCACCAAACCTGCCAGCGATGCAGTGCACAAACCTCATCATACGCACCATAATGGAGTGGCGTGGAGGGAAATAAAATAAAATACAATGATGAAGCACCATTATACAGTCTGTTCTGGCTCTTTTATACACTGAACGTGTTCGCGGAATGGTGCTTTTATAGTAAATAAGTATATTTAGGAACTTATGGAGGCATGTGTGAGCATCATGGTGTCTACAGAACAGCATGAATCACCAACATCGTGCAAAAACATCGGCGTGCACAATCAGAAAAGTCTTTTTTTCCTCTAAACACAAATAGGTCCAAGTCATTGACTCATTTTATAGTTCATATTGTGTCTTAACTTGTGTGATTTTTTTTTTTTTTAAAGAATTATAATTCAGTGTCCTTGTGCTTTGGCCCTTGAGAAATGGTGCAGTTGTAATGAGCGCATCTCCATCATTCCAGGATTGCTACATGTGCTCTTTTTCTGCATAGCGGAGTCATTAGCGCTTGTTCTCCTCTCCGTACAGTTCGCACCACCGATCACATGCCCCCTCCCTCCCTCCCTGTCTCTCTCTCTCTCTCTCTCTCTCTCTCTTTCGTATCATTGGACTAATGATTCTGCTTGTCACTCACGCCTGGACAACCGGTTCTATAGACTTCATATGATGTTGCTGCTTCATTTCAGATGGACCCCACACACACATCCTTAATGCCTGATTAAACCTCATTTCTACTGTTTTTTTTAACAAATAGTATGACCAAAACACTGTGTTGCGGTGAATATTTCAACTCTGATGTGCTTTGTGATATATTAAACCCCTGTGGTGAATTCTTCCTTCATAATTAAAGAACGGTTTGCATCATTTAGACTAATGCGATTCGTCTCTGTTGGATCGTGTGGAATGCCATGATTCACACAAACACAATCATGTTTGTCCTGCACAGAGCTCATTGTAAGGAAACTTCCACTGACATAATTGTTAATGTAGTTAATTAACGCTGCACATAAATTAAACCCTGAACTTCACCTCAGTAGCCAAAAGGGATCCCTTCAGCTCTTTTAGGTTTAACAGGTAAATACAATAGAAGGAAATAAAGGAAGGCAAATGTCCCTACAAGGACAAAATTGTTAGATATTCCTATCTTTTTGGGGACATTTGGTCCTCAATGAGAGATAAAAACATGCCCACACACACACACAGAGGAAAATTAGAGATCATGATCATGAGAACGCACATAAAACTCCATTCTCATATTTCTGATTATTGCAAATGTGAAAAAGCCAACAAACTGACAAACGCATAAATGTCACTGTTATCACGTGGTCCTCCTGTAAGCGCTGATTTAGTTATACTTCCCCCAAGTTTGCCAAAGACCCACTGACACGTCTCACATTTGGATGCTTTTTTGCGGTAACAATCCCCAATTTGCGGGACTGATTTCCCTTGAAACCGCAAGATGCATTTGCAACATCTTTTCATCCTTTTTTTAATACCTCCACCTTTTGAAAAATGCCAAAAAAAAAAAAAAAAAAAAACTTGCAGTGCATGAACAACGACATGAAAATGAAAGGTGGGTGATTAATTCAGTCAGATACGCGCGCGCTGCCCTCCGAACGCCTCAGGCAGAGCGCGCGCGCGGATGAGATCGGATTTGAAATAATCATGTATGCATTCAAAACGATAACAATACATGCATTAAGCCTGTCAATGCCTGCATAAGGGTTTTCTTTGGAGTCTCTGCATTTCATGCATCAACAGCCTCTTCTTTTTTTTTTTTTACTTCACTAAGACTTTTCTTTTTGTAGTGTAGCAGCTCAAAAGCATTGCACTGTCACGCGCTACATTATATTACATTACATTACATTCATTAGAGTTCAGCAAAAGCAGATGGAGATGTGGAAATCTCACCTCACTCATGGTGTAAAGATGATGAACGGATGGGGGATACGACGATTCCGCGCGCGCGCTTCCTTGGCACCAGTGACGCAGTCTTGGAGTCCGCGCGCCAGCGCCGCATTTATAGAGGAAGCCCCCCGCGCGTGGAGGGGCATCACGGTTTGCTCTCAGCCAATCACATTCCGCGTGAGATGGCAGGGTGTTTTTTTTTTCTGATGTGATTTAAAAAATAATATAAGAAGCAGGGTCTTACAGAAGCAGAATTATCCACACGGGCTAATGCTGATAGTCAAATACAGACAGCATGCATAGTGAGTGATAAGACTAATAACTGGTCATTGCTAAAAAAATAAAAATGATTACATTCAAGGAATATCCATTTTCACCATCCATGAACAGTGTGTGAGTTGAGAATACACCCTGGATGATAAACCAGTCCATCATGCGGGCACACACACTGGCACGTTTTTTGGAAGGAGGGAGGAAACCGGAGAAGCCAGAGGAAACCCCCTCATGGAGAGAACATGTGAAGCTTCACACTGAAAATCTCAAGCTCAGGATCAAACCCAGGACCATGGAGCTGTCACTCGGCAACGCTTCACACTGTGCCACCATGCCACCTATTAAAGGAATGATTGGACTAAAACTGTACGCAGTGTCCTGCTTATCCCAAATATATAATAATGTTGTTGTTTGGCTGTGCCTGTTAGGGATTGCAACAGCAGATCATTGTTCTGCATGTTTGATTTGATACAGGTTTTATGCTCTATGTCTTTCCCGGGGTTAGGACTGGCACTGAGAGTGCACTCCCAGTGGCTGGGTTGGTTCCCTGCCCAGGAATCGAACCGCGGCTGCGGCAGTGAGAGCATGGGATCCTTAGCCGCTAGACCACCAGGGACCCTATATATAATAACATATAATAATCCATCAACCAAAACATGCTTGGTTGCATTTTTAGTTCAGACAAAACAGGTTCATACTTTAGGCCACGCCTCCTACCTAGTGCAAACTATTTGGCCTCAAGATGGAGGTACAGCTGTTTTTAGGTACTGAACAACTCAACAGTACCAACAGTAACAGTGGATTGTATGCAACGGTTTTACGCTGTAAGATTTTCAGCCCGATATTACCGTCACGATCACACATCATAAAGTAACTGACTGATCGTGAGTTGAGATCAGAGATCTGACAGCGCATAATGTGAGGATTTAGTAGCGACGACAAAGTTGGCACTAAGATGGCATAGGATGGCTCCAAACTCTCGGGACAGCTACAGATATGTTAGTGGTGAATGTAAACGAAACAGAAAAGCTTCTGTTATTACCTCAGGATCACTTTGAAGACTGTTTGTGTTTATGCGAGTGTGTTTTCTGATTTTCTTCACAAGCTGATTTCTGGATCATGCTGTTCGATGACAAACAGTCAGACGTATTAATTTTCTTTAATCACAGGTCTACCGTCAGAGGCTCTTCACCAAATAATCAGACATGGAGAACACACATTAGCAGGCAGTCTGTTATAGAATTCAGTCATGATTTTATTGAGATCTCGTACCTGCGACACATAAAAGTCACAGTCTAAAACAGGCTGTAGATGTGCAATTCGAATGACGCTAAACTGGCGGCTGTAAACTACTTCCTTTAATGTTAGCCAACAAAGCTCTAGGGAAAAACTAAAGACACTGGTTTTCTTCACCAAACTTTCTCTTTTACAGCTGAATTTAATTAAAAGCAATACTCGCTGTGCCAAACTCTGCAGTGACTCAGCATTCGGCCTAATGCTCATTTCTTGTTTACTAAAGCAAAAAATAGAAATAAAAAATTAACAAACTAAAGGATCCTCCATTAAACGGAAACTAAAAACTGAGCGATATGGAACTAAGTATATTAAGAACACAAAACTATTCCAACCTTGACTTATGCACATGATCTATTTCACGCTTTTTAAAGACTAGTGCGATCCACAGTGTCTCTCGAGTTCACGTTTATCCCGTGCGCCCACGCCTCTGATAGATTTTAGACTGCAAATGCTGTATTTATATCATGGCTGTTTCTGCTGCAGGAGGTCTGCTCCTGACATCTGCTGACATGTTGCCCAGAAGATCCTACTAACAGCACAGAGATTCAGTTCTCTCCTGTTATTCAGTTAGTTTGCAGTCCAAAACAACAGTCTAAACATCTCTTCTGCTGGGGCATGGATGCAGTTAGCTCCTTTTAGAGGCTGGACTAATACAGCTTCCCAAAATTTTGTGGGAAGCTGCATTAGCAACATTAATTTTTTTTTAAATGTTAATACAACAATTGAATCCTGTATATTGGACCAAGGTAAGCAGCTGGATCCTGGATTTTAATTAAAAACAAACACATCACCTCTGCTCTGTGGAAGCAATTCTTTAATCTCTGATAAAAACAGGAAGATGAATCCTTGATCTCAGATATAAACAAGCAGCTTGATCCTGGATCTTGGATCTAAACTAGAAACTAGATCCTGGATCTTGGATATAAACTATGATCTCCAGATTTAAACCAGCAGTTAGGTTGTGGATCTTGGATATAAACCAGCAGCTAGATCTGGGTTCTCAGATATAAACCAAAAGCCAGATCCTTGATTTTGGATATAAACCAGAAGCTACTGTAGATCCTTCATCTTAATTATAAACCAACAGCTAGATTCTGAATCCTAAACCCTATATCCTGTATTTCGGATATAAATTTGCATCTAATCTTAAATTTACAAAGGCTCCTCTATCTTGAAACTAAACCAGGAGCTAAATCCTAAAGCTATCCTAAACCAACATCTAGATCCTGGATCAGATGTATTTATAATTTTTTTTTTTTTAAAAACGGAAAGATCCTGGATCACAGGTGAAAAAAACAGAAGCTGGATCCTGGATCTTAGATCAAAAACCAACAGGAAGATCCTGGATCATGGACAAAAAACAGAAGCTGCATCCTGGATCTCAAGACGTAAAGGCGTAAAATCTCAGTAAAAGCTGAGAAAATTGTGAATCTGAACCCAAAAGTTAGATGCTGGATAACGAACAGAAGCTTCCCTGCAGCACCAGGTCTGAGTATTATCACAGTTTAGAGGAAAGACCTTTGTGAGTCAATGTCCCGTGTCATTTTTCTGTAAAACTGAAGACCAGCTGCTTAATATTCGGTCAGTAATGACGATAACAGCGTTACATCTTACTTGACATTCTGAAAACATTGGTGGAGGATGGAAAAGAAAATCAAACACTTTCCTTGCTGTGTTCTTGAATAAGCTCACAAAAACACACACACACACACACACACACACACACACATGCGGTATAACAGAATAATCAGCAGTCATTTTGATTAGCTCTAGAGACGCGGCATCTCATTCCAGTACACAATTAAAAGACAATCAGTACATGCATTAAGGGACTTGAATGCATGCTTCATTTCAAGAGCTAAAATCATCATTTTAAAGTGTTAATTGAAGCACCATTCGCAGAATATCTAATTGGCTCATTTAGCATCGTCGTAGGTGACAGCTGGTCGATGTAGAATAAAACAATGTGCATTTGTAGTGTGTTGCACGTAAATAAGATGTTATCAAATATGATTCAAGCACTTTTTTAAAAGATTGATTTGTATTAGAAGAGACTTTAATTGTGTATCCGTGAACTACTGTGTGTGGTTATGCATTGCTTTTCAAGAAGTGATTATATAACATTCCTCATCAGGAAGATGCTGCTTTGTGGTCAATAAAATCCCTTTAATAGAGACAACATGCTGTCGTATTAGCAGCAAGCGCTGCCTGAGTGTGCAGTGTTGCAGTGTTTCTTGGCTCATCCTTCAGTAATGTATCTGTGAGCTGGTTTATTAAATCATAAAGTCTCATAAAGAGGTTCTGTAAATTACCTTTCAGTGAAAAATGATGGACCAATTAGGTTCCTCATCCAGTGTATATACTCCAGAATGCATTTTACATTCGACATCACGTACAAACAACATACTCATGTTTCAGGTGCTTCTCTGTGTGTGTTGGCTTGTTTCCACTAATACATTTGTGAGTGGATCTATTAAAAGATCCATCAGTGTGTGAATGAATGTTTCCTTTTCAAAGATGCACCAATTACGGACCATTTACTCCTCCTCCAATTCCAGATTCTTAAATATAAACACTTTATTGAGTTCAGGCTTGAAGGGTCCTCACCACTCTCACCGCTGGTCTGTCCATTAGGGATCTAAATCGACATCCAGATTTCTACAAAGCTGCTTTGTGACAATGTCTATCATTAAAGAAAAGTCACGTTTCAAAATTGCTCTCAGTTTTGCACATGTAAAATTATCATCCATCACTACTGGGAAAGATCCTTTAACACAAAAGAGACAGTGGTTGTTGGTCTGTACAAGTCTAGCGGATAAAAAAAAAAAAAAATGTAGACAGGATCTTACAGGATGCAGCGTCTTATCTTCACCAAATCCTCACTGAAACTGCAACTGGAACTGTGGGGGTGCCAAAATTTTGATATGACCATTTTTCAGAAAGAAACACTTAAGAAAAGTTTTTATGGTTGAAAAATAATGCCGTTATTTAATAATAGAAATAATGGCGTTAAATAATAATCTTAAACAGTGTTCCCTTGAGTTTTTATGCATTTATGTTGGCTCCTTTTCACAAAGGGGTGCCAATATTTCTGGAATTGACTGTATACAATAGTTTGAGAGTAAAATTAGGTGGGAATGTTGTAGTAATGGAGGTGTGGAATGTCTGACTGTGTGTGTGTGTGTGTGTGTGTGTGTGTGTGTGTACACAAAAACATTGTGTTTATTCAGTGTTTGCTGGATTGCTGCTTGACAAATTCAGTGCTTTGACTGAATTTTATGAAGAAAACCAATTACAGCATGAATCCTGACAGTCCACGACCGTGTTTACTGAATCTGAAATGACGACCGCCGACTGTAACACACATCACTGAGAATATTTTAAGCAACTAATACTAAAGCTCTTAGACCTCATTCTGTAGAAGTAAGCAGCGCTGACGTGAAGACCTGAAGACGGCCCTGTTTAATGTGGCAGGCTAGAGACTTAATTTAATTCTGGATGTCTCTCTTGTGCTGTAGCGCGTACACACACTCACACACACAGACAGCTGCATAATGAATGCTTACTCAGGGACCTTTCAGCTCGACTCGCTCGCCTTTCCATCTTCATGCCCTTTCATCCTCTGCATCCTTCAGCACTGAATAACAATCGCACTTCTAATGGTGGCAAATTTTTACTTTGCTGTCGAAGTACAATTTTTTTAGATGTCAACAGTGGCATTCGTGGCTTGATTAAAAGAAAAAAAATGGACACAATTTTCCATGTACTCTGACTCCAAGGTGTCTGACGTTTGCTTCAGTACACGCTCATACGCGCTCATTCCGTGCTTTGAATCACATAGTTAAGCAATGTAATGACATTTTTTAAATAAATTATTTTAAACAATAACAATAAGAGGCCATATTTACACATTTCATCATGAGCTATCTGCATAGTGTCCAGCTTTCATGTACAAACACACATTTAAACAAGCACAAAAAAAAAAAGTCAAAATGGCCGCCCCCTTAACGCTCCAGTGTTTAGCTACAAGGTGTTATTTTGTTCATGTTTATAGACGACAGGAAGTCATACTGCGTCCTAAATCACATCAGCAATTCTGGATCTGGATGTGTTTCGAGGCTTTCATTACTTGTTAGCTACATTAGCCTTGTAGCTCCAGTGCAAATCTCAAGAAGCTAATGTCAAACATCCATCATGTCTTGGGTGAACACTTGCGCAGGCCTGGAAAAGTATGAATTGAAAGGCAGTAACTTTTCTGCCATCTTCAAGACAGAAGATTTTACGCTTCGTGGTTTCTCGGTAACGTGAAAAGCTGCGTGT